AAGATCGATGTATAGCAAATTAAAGAAAATTCAAGCTGAACATTGCATTAGGTCCAAAGTAACATTGACAGATTCTCTTCGTCGACTTTCTCTTTGTATCCTCACGGCCATCTTATGACATTTCCAGGTATTTTCAGCACACATATCGATAAAACAAGCCACCGTCTAGCATCTAATAAGACAAACACAACAAGAAACGGTTATGTGCTCATGGTATTAACGAAAGAGAATGTCGACGAAGAGAATCGATCAATGTTACTTAGAACCTAATGCAATGTTCGGCTTGAATTAACGAAATGGTTGGTCGGGATGTGCATTTATAAACTCAATTTGTTAACATTTGTTACTTAGGACCTTTTGAAAATTTAGGTGAGAATTTATTCCAATCGAGCCAGGCCAGTGACAAGGCCTATACTAGAGTCGGTGTATAATGAGTCACGCCAAGAGTGAAGCCAAGTCTACCTATTGAACTGTCAAACCGGCTACCTATCGTGCAAAGTAAACAAGCATTACGATGCTATGAAAGGTCCACGAAAGGTATTGCAATTAAATATAAAATATAATCGAAGAAATGATCATATACACGCAGTGAGCATTATATTTGTCATGCGATACGTTTTGTAATGATCAGTAATGACAATTTCTATTATTTTTCTTTAAGATAATTTGACAAAATCACTGATATAATGATTTACTACAGCCGTTAATTTTTTTCCTCGCTAGAAGTCATTTGAAGTTGATGCAGAAGTCCTCTGTTGCCAAGTTAAAAGAAAGGGAATATTTCGAAAACCGTGATGCGAGTTCAACTGTTTTTCTCTTGGCGTGACTCATTATATACCGACTCTAGCCTATACCAACAGCAGTGTTTGACAGTAGGCAGCATGTCCCGGGCTCAAAACATATATTTTGCTGTGCTGGGACCGCTGTCACTGTATAACACTCAAAAATATTACAAAACCCATATTGATTAAATTTTATGCATTTTATACGTAATCAAAATTTATACATTGGTCCGATTAATATTTTCTTCAAAACTATACTAAGACCGATTATCGGAGTGGAATTCGATCAGTGTATACTAAAACTATCAAAAATGACAATGTCAAACACGATTGGCAAATCAACGTTGGCACTCGTGGAGAATAGAAGAACTATGAAAGTGATGATGGTTTCAAAATTTTACACGGTGAGGTATACGAGTGCAATCTTAAAAAGCTTTTATTTTGCAAATGAAACATTTTATTTAAATCTGGTTGATGCTATGTTAGTAGAAAACTTAAGGACTACTCAATAGACAAATAATACAGAAAAATTAATTTCTTTTCAGATTTTTAGGTGTACACATAGATTTGAGCTTTTCTACCACTGTAGCAGCAACCAGATTTAAATAAAATGTTCCATTTGCAAAATAAAAGCATTTTAAGATTGCATTCGTATACTTCCCCGTGGAAAATTTTGAAACCATCATCACTGTTATAGTTCTTCTATTCTCCACGAGTGCCAACTTTGATTTGCCAATAGCACTCGTAGTCGTTTTTCAGTTCACGTTGAAGGTGATAACGTTCTCAAATGGTTCTGCAAACATCGTCCGCTCATTGATCGAAAGAAGCATATAAACCTGCCGGAAGTGGAATCAGAGCCTGCCATGAATAGCAACCCTGTATCGATTAGCCAATAAACTGATGATGCACAGTAATTTCTTCTATCTGTTCGACTTAACGGCCAAAGCGTTGAAAATAACAATTTCGGTGAACCCAAGTTTTAGCCGCTTATCAGAGATCAAAACGTCGGGTAATGATAAACCTGGATTTCGATAATGATAATTTTATGGTACTGCTTTTGCTTTAATTAAAACTTTAATTTTTATTTGAAAACAATCATATTAAGCATTAAACGAAAAAGAAGCAGAAAATACATTCCCTCGAATAAACCGTATGTATGCATTGCAAGCATATTTCGAGTTTATACTATGACAGGTATAAATCATTTTTATACTAAGTCTGTATTCTCTCCCTTTATACCGACCTTTGCGTCGGCACGGAGAGTTGCGATTTAGCGTAACTTTTATACTATTTAGCTTCCCATATTTTTTGAGTGAACATGTTGCCTACGCGCCTGCCATTGGGCTGCACTGGGCTGAATCGAGCAGAAGATCTGTCAAATGGAAAAGATGTCTCTTTATGAATTCAGGCTCTTCAGTATACAGGGTAACAAAACCAGGCTGAACCTTTTGCTACTGTGCATTAGAAATACTCAGAGGGAGAGATGGGCGGAGAGATGGGCGGAGAGAATGTTTTGAGCCAAATGAACTGTCATAATCTGAGCCAATCGAACATTACAATTGAAATTTTTCTTATTCTTACTAGAATAAATTTGAGAGTTTTGCAATCGAACAGAAATTCAATCACCTTTATGTTTTGTGTGCTTCTCAAATTCAACTAGTTTTTGGAATCGAAAACAGTATTCTAACTCTATTGATTAATTGATCTTCGCCGGTTAACGAATGGCACCAAGAAATGTGCAAAATATTGCGATGCAATCAATTGTTATTTTGCACCTAAATCGAATCAAAAATACAAGTCATTTGAAATGCTACTGTGTTACCTGACTTATAACTTAGAGAAATAATTATAATTATTTCTCTAAGATGCAATTCAAATTATAATTGTTTGACTATTTTCAATCCTGCTGGTTTGGATAGCTCGACTTGTGTGCCAGTATAGTTGAGTAGTAGTATTTTTTAAATTATTATTAAAGATCATCGCTTGAATGGAATTGATCGTTGCAGTATCCAGATCATTCTATGTATATTCCCGGCGGTAGACCGTAATTTGCTCAATGGATGTAATCTCTAGTTCGCGAGAAAACCTCGTGTAAAATATCCTGCTTCGCTTCTCATCCCCAGATATTACACTCTGAACGTGATCTATCCGAATGTTGACGAAGAATTTACCCTACCGTTCCTTCAGGATACACTTCTGTATAAGGACAGCACTGCGAATGGAACATCGCTTCTGTGGGCGCGTTCAACCTTCGCTCGGGACGTTGCCTCCCAGCGATGGATATCCCACTGGTCAAAATGTGGTTCTCACAGCATTTTTGACGAATCATTCGGTCAAGGTCAGAGTCTGCTAACAGAAGCTGGTCAAGTACTATGTACTCAATGCATTGAAACACCGCAAGCTTTATCATATTGGTGGCGCTGTGTCGATAATACCACCAAATATGAGGACAACGGGTTGGACTTATTGGGCTCGCATATGGTGAGAACGTGTCGGGATCTGGTGGAGAGCTAACGAAAGTCCCGGTCGATAAGCAGGATTTCTACTACGCATGTTCTTCTTTAGTAAGACTGCGTTAGTACGAGTTTGCCAAAAGAACATTTCAAAACTGTACGTGTTTTTCATAATAATAAATATTAAAAAAAAAATATTTAGGAATCTTCCTAAGACAACATTAATTTTGATTTGAAAACAATAATATTAAACATGAAACAAAAAAGAAGCAGAAACTATATTCCCTAGAATAAATCATATGTATGCATTGAAAGCAGAGATCGAAATTATCACCTACTTGAGAAGAGAAACGTCATTTTTCACCTGCTAGGAGAAATAGATGAGAATGTGAGAAGCGAGAGAATATTATACGCTCACAGCAGTTTTCGCGAGAAAAGCAACAGCGATTTATTTTTTTCGGAGAGCATAAGCGGCAGATAAATCGTTTCTTTTTCAGTGAATTCTTGATGCCGATCATGATTTTTCACTTCTTTCATACACCTGAAAATTCACTTTCCGCACGCCAACGACGATCCGAAATTAAGAACCAAAACAAAAGTTAGGGAACATCCATAGATTACGTAGAATCTGAGGAGTAATGGAGAGGGGGTTGCAACATTTGTAACGGACCATGCATAAGGTATAGAAAAAACGCCACGAATAGGGGAGGGGAAGGTCTAAAATTGGTAAGAAAATTGCATCGTCATTTATGGATGACCCTTATGATATGACAGAAGGTATAAAAAGAAAATAAAAAAAATCTGCTGGACTGGTTGAAACGAACGAAATGCAAAACAGGTGAGGCTATGTGAAATCGTTGTCCCTTTCCTTCTGCCGCTGTTTAAATGGATAACACAGGATGACGGCACACTCCGTCAACCATTTAATCAGCCGAAGAACAAATGAGACGGCGAATTTCCAAGCCTCAACTGTTAACATCACATTGGATTGGAACCGAACAATTTGGGGTGGTATTTTTTTTCGCTCTTGGTAGTTTTCAGAGCCAAATGGGTGATGAAAAAGTATTTTCGTTGGTTTTTGAAGAGAGATATTTTCGGATTATGTATGAGAGAGGATAATGAATTATCGGTGAAAAAGGAGAGATGAAAATGTGAACGGTTCACAACTCATCGAAAAGTAGCTTGAGTGAGGAAATGCTTATCGTGCTGCTGAGTGAGAATTTCTATCTCTGATTGAAAGTATATTTCGATTTTATACTATGGCAGGGATAAACCATTTTTATACTAAGTTTGCATTCTCTCCCTTTATACCGACCTTTGCGTCGGTACGGAGAGTTGAGATTTAGCGTAACTTATATACTATTTAGATTTCAATATTTTTTGAGTGTATGACTCGTCTAATTTTGAATAGCATTTGAAATGTAAAATTACACGAACTATACGTTGTATTCGGGGTACTCATATACAACGTATATTCGTTATAAGTCAGGTTTACTATATGCTAATATGCTACACAGGTAACACAGTAGCTTCTAGCAAAGGGTTGCAAGATAATTTAGGAAGAAATCCCTGCTGCCGAATTGTATTTTGTTTTCTCCGCCTATCTCTCCCTCTGAGTATTTCTACTGTGCATAGCTGTGCATGCGATGTTTTATAACTAAATAAATTTTAGTCGGCGTAACGACTAGCACCTTTTTTTGACAGCTCCAAGTTGGATGTTTTCGTTGTGGAGCTTATCCATCAGAGGCAGAAATTTTATTGCTGTTCTAGCAGAGCAGCATCAACATCTCGTTGTAAGTGTTTTTTTCTTTGCTTAGTTGTGCAGCATAAAGTGCATTTGACCGAGCATAATCATATCGAAAGTGCATCACCAGTGCAGGAGAACCAATTTCTCTCGGTTGGTGTAATGATTCTGGTCGCGTTTCGAGTGCAATCTCGATCCAAGCAAATGTATCGCCTGTGTTGCAGTAGCAGTTAGTGAGACAACCAACCAAACCTTGCGTATCGATTCCGAAAGCAATGCCTACGTTCTCGACGCTGATTGGACCGCTGCTGCTGGCCGGAACGATTCTTTTCGGTGGGTCCACCGCCGGGGTCCGGGCAGATGATGGCGGTTCCGGTCCACCGCCGGTCCCCGTGGAAAAGCTATCGTTTTGCGACGAAGATGTCGCGAAAGGCCGAGACATTAGCGATAGGTGAGTGTTGTTGTTTTTCCCAAGTGGTGTTTCGGAGGTGATCACAGAGTGAAGTGTTGCAGTACGAAAAAATGGCTTAATTAATGCGCTGCAAGGTCGCTCCAAGCTGGAGGAGCATCGCATGATGCGAAAGAAAGGTGCTGGTGTTTGGTAGTCGTTTTCTTTTTCGCCTCCCTCTTGGTGGGATGATCATGTTCGAACATGATTGCATCATGTTGCTGCATAAGAATAGCATAAATGCAATTTATTATTATTTAACAGGTGCTACCTAGTCGTTGCTAAAGTATTCGGGTTGATTGCCTTTTCATGCATTGATTGGAATACTGTAATTGAAATTGATTTAGTCAACGATACAATTTATTCGCTAAAATTAAATTTTAATTATTGTAAAATATCCCATAGTCAATTTGTTATTGATAACCAATATTACGGTTACATGTATCAAATTACCGTTGTTTACGTATGGTTGTTTCGCTTGTTTCAGATGTTGATCTAGAATAAAAACGAAGTGACTCACGACTTATCAGGTTATCTAGCTTAGTAGATTGGATTATGTCGATTGATATCAAAATTATGTCGACTGCATTCAAGACTACCTACATGGCAATACTAACAAAAATTATAATTAAAAAATTGCATCAATAGGAATTCAATCATTTCCAATCAGGTGCCGGTTGAGTGCGGATGTGTGAGAGGAGGTGAAAAAGCGCGAGTGGCATTTGCATCGTATGAAAAATAACTTCCTTCCGGAGAGTTCTAGAGGATTTCGATTAATTGCGCGCAAATTGAAGAGGGAAAAGAACAAGACCAGTTGTTTGATTTGATTTTCAACTGCAAGTAGTGACGACAAACGCATAATTCCAATGGAAGGAAGGTACTGAAGGTTTAAGAACAGTGATTTTTAGGAATTTTTTTATCACTTTGTACCTTTCTTGTACTCCTAGTCGTACAGAGTTTTATAAAAACCATATTTGTTCCTTCATTATACGCTCAACTGTATGCTAAACATCAAGCTTAACCATATTTTTTTGAATAAAAAACCCGGAACATACGTTACCTTATCAATTGAATCAGCTATATGAATTAAGCACTTAAGGCCCAAATACCCCCGATCTGATAGAGCGTTTAATTGATAGCATAATTCTCTCAGTAGGGAGGACTTAGAATTTGAATCTAAAAGCATAAATACCACCCTCATGATTCGATTCACTTATAATTCTCCTTTGAATTCCCTTTAAATTTTCATCAGAATTTTCTTGGTTTTCTCCTTAGGTTACCAGGAACCCTCCTGTTAGTTATTGTAAAATTCTCCTTACAATGATCTTGGAATTTAACTCAGAACTGCAGGGCTGTTACAACAGGCGCGGATTTCGCGATTTTCGCGGATTTGAAAGTCGCGAAAACACTAAATGATGTCGTGAAATTTATTGTAACCTTTCTGTCCCGGATTATTTTGCTGTCGTCAATTTTGTTGTTCATTCGGCTCTCAATTTTTTTACCGGTTCAAACCAAACACCCTGCAAATAATCGAGACATGATCTCAATTCCATAAGTCACACCGGGTTTTCCACGGAAATTCCCTGGAGTCTGTCCAATGTGAGACATTTTCATTGTTTTTTTTTTTTTATTTCCAATATGAACATAATATTTTTTGTTATCAAATCATAAACGAATCGTATATATGCGAGTAAATGCCATGAATCTGCTTGGATATATTTCGATACTACAGACTTTATCCCAGTCATCTAGGTTGATCTAGTAGAATAAATCATCTGAACTCCAGAACGATTTGGAGAACTTAAAATATCTGGTATACATGGCAATAGTTCATACATGATCCACATAGACACTGTGCATCTGTCTGGAAATATTTCGATTCTAAAGACATTGTCCCAATCTCGGTTGATATAGTAGATCAAATTATCTGAACTCCAGGACGATTTGAAGAACCTTGAACATGTGTCTTGGTTGATCTAGTAGAACAAATCAACTGATGTCCTGGACGATTTGGAAAACCTATAATTTCCGGTATACATAGTTATAAGTCGTGCATGATACACAAAGTCACATATATATACAATTCGGTTATGATTTGACAACGAAAAAATGCTAGGTTCATATAAGAAAAAAACACGACAAAAAACGGGACAGACCCCACGTGTAAATACAGAACCGCGACGTGACCAACAAGTGTATCTTATGAAACTCTGGTAATTTCTCGATTATGTGCAGGGTGTTTGGTTTGAATCGGTAAAAAATTGAGCCAAATTAACTACAACATTTAGGACAGCAAAATACGTCAGAGACGCAAATGGTTAATTTTCAAGTCAGAACTATATTGTACGTTCAGCGCACTTCTCAGGGGTTGTTCATAAACTACGTAGACAGTTTATGGGGGGGGGGGGGGGAGTTGGGTTGTCAATTTTCCACGGCCCATACACATTTTAAAATTGTGTATGGACAATTGTCTACGATGGGGCGAGGGCAAGAATCCCAAAACACTGTCTACGTAGTTAATGAACAACCCCTCAGCTCGTCTTCTGTTGTGGTCTCATCCCGATTTCTGCCCTCGACCACTGTCGCCTGGGAAAAAGCTCTTGCGATCGCCTCCTCGCCTAGAGATTTTTCGACGAATTCCTTAATGGGCTGTTTACACTTATGCTAGTTCACTAGCACAAACAGCTTAACCAACTAGCACGAATTTCAGTGGTTCCTGAAATTTCATGCTGGTAGATGCTGACGCCCAGTTCACATTATGATGGCTACTTTGAAGTACAGTTCTAGTGCACTAGCGCTAGCTAATCATCACAAATGTAAACACCACATTCTGGGTGTATAATTTTCGTTTTGTGCCTTCCTCAAAATTGACCTGTGTTCGCTTTCTATTCTCTATGGGAAATTGATGTAATGTCGGCCTAAATGCCCCTAATTTAGGCCCATACATAAATTCAGCAATCGACTAAATTTTCAATAGCGACCAAAAATATCCATTAGTACCGTGCCAATGACGAGTTCATCTAGAAAAAAATGATAGAGAGCAGATTTCTAGCGATGGGCCCAATCTTAGATCCATAGGCCAATATTAGAGCCATTTCCTCTAGAGAGCGATAGGAGCGGATTCAAAACAAACAGCCTAAGCCTATGCCTAGGTGATTTCTAGCAACACTGATAATGCAATCAAGATAGGCTCTGGTTTTGACAGTTCATTTCGCTCAAGACCAGCCAGCCCGCTCCTCTCTTATACTAGACCCTCTTTAATTTCCCCTATATACAATTTTCACACTCTAACGGAACTATCAACTCTATACTTTCATCTCCTCATCTATCGTATAAAATGACCACTTTAAGTCTGATATCTAAGCATCTCCAGCTATGTACAAAGTTAACTTCACGCATGCTGAAATTGTACTCAACCTGCCATTATATCAAGGGCCAAAAACGGTTTGAGTGAAGCAGTGGATTGGGCGATCTTGGATCGATCTTTGGAAATCGATCTTTTTTTCGTGTCGATTTCCGATTTTTTGGATCGATTCTTTGTCCACGAAAAGAACGAAAAGAACGGTCTCTTCTTTCGATCTTTTCGAATTTAAAAAAAAAACAATCGGTCGTATGAATAAAAACGTTTACTTTACTTTTACCGTAAGAAAAGCACGGGAAAGTAAAGTAAACTCTTTTTATTCATACGACCTAATAGGTGTTAAATTTTGCAATTGTATTTACATCGAAAAAACGATTTACTCTCACCTCAGACTGCGAGATAAATTTACATGGTCAATCACACCAACTCAGCGACTGAGAATAATTGACTCAAAGAATTTGCTTTACATACGAAATTTACTCAGATTTGGAAGAAACTGCAGTTACTCATAGCTTATTAGTAACTGCAGTTTCTTCCAAATCTGGGTAAATTTCGTATGTAAAGAAAATTCTCTGAGTTAATTATTCTCAGTCGCTGAGTTGATATGATTGGCCGTGTAACGAACATAACGTCAACATCAGCATCGCTCCCTATAATGGCGTCAATATTTACCTCCCTCCTGTGCTTATTGCTCCTTACCGTCACAACATTTAATTGAATATAAGAAAGCCCCATGGAAGCCCCCAATCCCTCCGTCTCAGAGGGGTCTTCCAACCCACTCACTATGGCGAGCATCCAATCAGACTTGATGATGGTCAGTTTTGCCTGATGTATCTGTGATTTCCAGGGAGAGCAGTCGTTCGATTCCTTGCCGCAAGCAGGACGTGTTGATCTTCTACCAAAACGCCGGTGGAATGAATTCTGATGTTGATGAGTACCGCCTAGCTGTATCGGATTGTTGCTACGATGTAATTGTCCTGTGCGAAACGTGGCTCGATTATCGAACGCTCTCCAGTCAAGTCTTCGGTCCGGAGGTCTTTCGTTGCTATCGGAATCCTAACAACAACCGTAAATCTACTGGTGGAGATGTCCTTGTAGCTGTCCGTGGCGGGTTGGAGGCAAAGGCCATCGAGAACGATTCATGGAACTATGTTGAGCAGGTTTGGACAGCCATCAATCTATGCGCTCTGTACATTCCACCTGATCGAGTCCGGGACAATGAACTCATCGATACTCACTGTCGGTCAGTTATCGAAAGTGCCACTCCAGTTGATGAGATATTCATTTTTGGTGACTTCAATCTGCCAGGCGTTTCGTGAAGTCCATCTCATAGCGGATTCCTGTATCCAGATCCTGATAGCTCTACATTTCACGCAGGAGCTATTGGCGTCTTGCAGTGAAACTTTTCCAAGCTTCCGCCTCCTACATTTCGAAGTGAGAACTACTAGAAGGAGGATAGTTTCCAAATTCTCCAAGTAAAACAGACGATTTTTGGGGCAAATCGGTCCATAAAGAAAAACTAATAATTTCCGGTGGATACTTTTGCTTGAATCGTGTAAGAAAACGTGTTTGCAAACTAACTGTTATTATTTCGGTATGGATCGGAGATGTTTTCATGCAAAATTATGCATAACAAGTTTGC